ACCAAAGGCCCCTCACCCAGGCTGACCCATACCCCAAGGGAACCCCCACAGTGATCCGGGACACACTTCAGCCAGCCCCCACCCATGCACCAGGCCTCTATCCTATCTAATAAAAGAGTAATATGCAGATTGACCATCACTCCAACACACAAGACGGCTGCCCCCGTGTGGTCAAAGGTCCTGCCCCTATGTGGACACAAGATGGCCGCCACAAGATGGCCAGCAGAGGAGGGCAGTTGGGAGGGACCAGGCCTGCAAGGGAGAGCAGTTAGGGGTGACGGGGTCTGTGAGAGAGGGCAGTTAGGTGTGACCAAGCCTGCAGGGGAGGGCGTTTAAGGGCAATCAGGCTGGCAGCAGAGAGTTAAGCATCAATCAGGCTGGCAGGGGACTGGTTAGGGGGTGTTCAGGCTGGCAGGAAGAAGCGGTTAGGGACAATAAGAAAGTCAGGCAGGCGAGCAATTGGGAGCCAGCAGTCCTGGATTGTGAGAGGGATGTCTGACTGCTCGTTTAGGCCTGATCCTCGAGAGGGTGCAGGCTGGACTGAGGGACACCCCACACCCCCCAAATTTTGTGCTCCGGGCCTCTAGTCAATAATAACTTTAAATGTAAATGGATTAAATGCCCAAATCAAAAGACATAAGGTAGCTGAGTGGATAAGAAAACATGACCCATATATCTGCTGCTACAGGAAACCCATCTCAGAACAAAGGACTCACACACAGACTGATGGTGAAGGGATGGAAAAAGGTTTTTCAGGCAAATGGAAATAAAAAAAATAAAAATAAAAAAAGCTGGGGTATCAATACTTATATCTGATAAATTAAGACCTCAAAGTGAAGGCCATAACAAGAAATAAGGAAGGCCACTTCATAATACTAAAGGGAGCAATTCAACAAAAAGATATAGCTCTAGTAAACATATACGCACCCAATACAGGAACACCCAAATACATAAAACAAACTTCTGGAGGATATCAAAGGAGAGATTGACAGCAATGCAGTCATAAAAGGGACTTTAATACCCCACTGACACCGCTGGGTAAATCCTCTAAACAAAAAATCATCAAAGAAGCATCAATCCTAAATGACTCACTAGATCAGTAATTAACATCTTCAGATCATTTCACCCCAAAGCCACAGAATATACGTTCTTCTCAAGTGCACATGGGTCATTTTCAAAGACAGACCATATATTGGGACACAGGCAAAGTCTCTTCAAATTCAAGAAAATAGAAATCATATCAAGCATCTTCTCAGATCACAGTGGCATAAAATTAAAAATAAACTACAATAAAAACAATCCAAAAAAATCAAACACCTGGAGGCTAAATAGCATGTCATTAAACAATGATTGGGTTACCAAAGAGGTCAAAGGAGAACTAAAAAATATCATGGCAACAAATGACAATGAAAACACAAAAATCCAAAATTTATGTGACTCTGAAAGCAGTCTTGAGAGGGAAGTTCATAGCTCTACAGGCCTACCTCAAAAAAACAAGAAACTATGGTAATAAATTATCTAATCCTACAACTCAAAGAGTTAGAGAGCAACAAAAGCCCAGTGTAAGCAGAAGGAAGGAAATAATAAAGATCAGAGCAGAAATAAATGACATAGAGATCCCTGCCCCAAAAAACAAACAAAAAACCCCACAAAAGATCAACAATACCAAGAACTGGTTCTTTGAAAGGATAAACAAGATTGATGAACCTCTAGCCAGGCTCACCAAGAAGCAAAGAGAGAGGACCCAAAATCAGAAATGAAAGAGGTAAAGTAACAACTGACCCCACGGGAATACAAATGATTATGAAAAAATACTATTCCAACAAAATGGACATATTCTTAGAAAAATACAAGCTCCCAAAACTCAATCAGAAAGAATAAAAAATCTGAATAGGTCGATAACTACCAATGAAATTGAAGCATCTATCAAAAATCTTCCAGCAAACAAAAGCCCTAGTCCAGACAGTTTTACATGGGAGTTTTACCAAGCATTCAAAGAACTAAAACCTATCCTCCTCAGACTATTCCAAAAAATTCAAGAGGAAGGCACACTTCCAAGCTCTTCCTATGAAGCCAGCATTACCCTAATCTCAAAACCAGATAAATACGTCACACACACAAAAAGAGACTGCAGGCCAATATCCTTGATGAACACAGGTGCTAAAATCCTCAACAAAATTCCAGCAAATCAGATTCAGCAATACATTTATACATAAGACCAAGTGGGATTTATTCCGGGGATGCAAGCATGGTATAATATCCACAAATCAATATATGTGATATATCACATAAACATATTGAGACAAAAATCACACAATCATACCAATCAATGCAGAAAAAGCATTTGACAAAATCTAACACCCTTTCTTGATAAAAACTCTCATCAAAGTGAGAATAGAGGGATCATACTCAACATAATAAAAGCGTATATGACAAACCTACAGCCAACATCACACTCAATGGGCAAAAACTAAACTCATTTCCCTAAGAATAGGAACAAGATTGGGATGCCCACTTTCACCACTCCTGTTCGATATAGTCCTGGAAGTATTGCCATAGCGATCAGACAAGAAGAAGAAATAAAAGACATCCAAATTGGAAAAGAAGAAGTAAAACTGTCCTTATTCATAAATGACATGATACTATACATAGAAAACCCCAAAGATTCCATAAAAAACCTACTAGACCTAATAAACATTCAGCAATGTAGGAGGATACAAAATTAATACCCAGAAATCTATGGCCTCTTTATACACCAATAATGAACTCACAGAAAGAAAAAAAAATCCCATTTACCATTGCACCAAAGATATTAAGATACCTAGGAATAAACTTAACCAAGGAAGTAAAAGACCTATACTTGGGAAAACTACAGGACATTGAAAAAAGAAATGGGAGATACAAACAAATGGAAGAACATACCATATTCATGGATTGGTAGAATCAACATCATTAAAATGTGGATACTACTCAAAGCAATCTATAGATTCAATGCAATCCCCATTAAAATACCAACAGCATATTTCAAAGATCTAGAACAAATTCTCCAAAAATTCATCTGGGAAAAAAAAAAAAAAAAAAAAGACCCCGACTAGCTCAGCAATTCTGAGAAAGAAGAACAAAGTTGGAGGGATCACAATACCAGATATCAAGCTATATTACCAAGCCATGGGTCTCAAAACTGCCTGGTACTGGCACAAGAACAGATATATAGACCAATGAAACAGAACAGAGAACCTAGAAATTGACCTAAGCCATTATGTTCAATTAATATTTGACAAAGGAGGCAAGCGCATACAATGGAGTCAAGACAGTCTTTTAAATAACTGGCGCTGGGAAATTTGGTCAGATACATGCAAAAAAATGAAACCAGATAACCAACTTACATCATACACAAAAACAAACTCAAATGGCTAAAGTACTTAAATGTTAAGACAGGAAACCATAAAAATCCTATAAGATTCATTAGGCAGCAAAATAGCAAACATATGTCATAGCAATATCTTTACAGACACAGCTCCTAGGGCAATGGAGACTAAGGAGAAAATAAACAAATGGGACGACATCAAAATAAAAAGCTCTGTACAGCAAAAAAACCCATCAACAAAACAAGAAAGCCCACTGCATGGGAAAACATATTTGCCAATGTTATTTCAAATAAAGACTTAATCTCCAAAATGTACAGAGAACTCATACAACTTAACAAAAGGAATATAAAGGATCCAATCAAAAAATGAGCAAAGGATCTAAAGTTTAGATCCTCAAACTTTTTAAAGTGGGGGCCAGATCACGGTCCCTCAGAGAGCTGGAGGGCCGCGGCCAGCTGGGGGAAGAGCTTGTGCTACTAATTCCTACTGTAACACCTCGGCTGCGCTCACTGCCCAAAAAACCTGGCGGGCCGGATCAGACTCCTCTGCGGGCTGCATGTGGCCCGCTGGCCGTAGTTTGAAGACCCCTGAAAACTGACACTTTTCAAAAGAGGACATACAGATGCGCATGACTAAGACAAACAGCCTAGAAATAACAAGCCCAGTTTCCATGCCCCAGAGCTGACGGAGGCACCGGATGCCCTATGGGCAGAGGTGTGTTCACTGGGCCGGCTCCCAGGAGAGCAAAGCCCTGACTCAGCAGGAAGACACCCCTTGTCCTGCCGCCACCCCCTTCTCCCACCTGGAACCTGTATTTGTTGCTGGAGCTGCAGAACTGCCTTATACCCACGAGCTGGAGGGGCGGGGCCACGCCCTGACCCTGAGACCAAGGCCAGTGGCTGTCTGCACTTCTGATTAAAAAACACCCCTGTCTTATTCTAGCCAGTGCTATAGGTTCTTTACCCCAGGAAGTCAGAACAATTCCTAACCGAAAAACTAGCCAATATTATATACAAAGCCCCTCCGAGGAGCCCGGGCAGCCTTAGTGATCACACACTGTTTCTGCTGCAAAGCGTGTCACACTCACGGGGTAAATCCGCCCGGTTCCGGCCAAACTGTGCCACCCAATGAGCTGTCAACACTCTTGCTTTCCAGAGCTTTTGGGGTTTAGCTGTGCTCCAGGGACTGTGCCTGTGTTCTGTACACTACGAGGTGTGATTATTGCCTCTAACATTCTTCGGGCTTTTGTAAGTTGACCAGATGTCCCGCTTTTGGCGGGACAGACCCAATTTTTAACAATTTGCCCTGCATCCCGAGGTGTTTTAAAAAAAAAAAGTCCTGATTTTTGGAAAGATTCTTTTAAATCTTTTGGATTTTTTTTTTTTTTTTTAAACATCGCGGGATGCGGGGCAAATTGTTAAAAATCGGGACTGTCCAGCCAAAAGCCGGACGTTTGGTCACCTTACTTGGGGAGCCCTCTGGGGTGGACTTCCTTGTCGGGATGCAGCTCCCCCTGGGTGTGACGGGATGCTGGGAGGGGGGGAAGGAGCCAGTGGAAGGGCCCCTGGGAGGGAGGCGGGCAGAGCCATTTCAGCCTCCTCCGGGCCCTGCCCGCCAGCTGCCAGCAGGTACCTCGGGCAGCAGGCTGAAGTCCCGGTCCAGAATGGCGCCGTAGGACTCCTGGAAGAAGTCGCGGAGGCTGGTCCCCGTGAAGTGGAACGCATAGGCCGCGGCCAGCTGGGGGAAGAGCTTGTGCTGCTGCGTCTGGTAGTCCAGCACTTTGGCCTCCGGGTCGCTGTGGGCAAGAAGCGTGGGAGGGTCAGAAGGCTATGAGTTACATTCCCCTTCCCCAGCCCCACGGCCACAACGCCTTAAAGGGCGCTTTATCTCTCACTGTAAAACCTGACCCGGAATGACACCAGGCTAGTCCTACCCTTTTAACATTCCGCCTACCGTGAAGAACCAACCACGCACGTCCCTGCAGAAAGACGGACCTTTGCTTACAGGTTACGGGTGCCGCCCCTTGTGGGCGAGGTTCACAAAACGACATCCCATCCTGCTAACATCTGGGAAGGTCTGCATTCTCACACACGTGGCCCCAAGGATTCGGGGTGAGGGCTGTGGCCCTGCACTCCTGACGGTTTGAACCTCGTCCTTTCCCGACCCAGCCGCACTTGCCCGGCGCCTGGAAAAGCATTGCACGAATCACTAACTCTGAGGCCGTGCACTCGGCCCGATGGAGGGACCGCGCCTGCCTTGTCCGGTGCCGTGTCCCGGGGCCCGAGACGGAGGCCAGCGTGTGGGCTGTTCCTGCTGCAGCTGTTTGTGGAGTGAGAGGCGTGGCAGTGAGAAGCCTCCACGGCTGATGGGGGGGAAACCTGGAGTCTCTCCTCTAGGCAGCAGCCCCTCAGCTGGGATGGACACACTATTCTAACAGCCCTCAGGACATTCTGCAGCTAGACAACCGGGCTCCGGCCAGAACATCACGGCAGCCCTTGCCACGCGCCTCTGGCCCCAGAGCAGACACCTTCACCCAGCACGGAGGCCCGGGCTGGCGAGGGAGCCTGGGGTTTGCCAGAGGGAAGGACCCAGGACTGACTGCGTTTCATCCTCAGCACCACCTGAAAGGCCCTCCCGTGGTGCCCGCTTATAGATGGAGAAGTGAGGGACCAAGAGGCGGACAGCCAGCCTAGCTCCCATCACCCACAGGTGGCCCGCAGGCCTGCCGGGCATCCAGCCCGCAGTCCATTTTGCACTGGACTTCTGGACCCTTGAGGCCATTGCATGAGACACCATCAGACTCAGACTGGCTGTCCAAGGTCCAGTCTCTACAAGTGGGAAAGCAGACCCAGAGCGGGCAGAGGACTTAGCCGGGTGGGGACGAGAACTGTCAGGCTGAAGCCTGTCCCTCAGCATCATGAATTCAGTCAGTTCTTCTGTGCCCGGCTCTGCGCCCTGTGCCCAGCTGTGTCCTCTGTGCCCAGCTCTGCCCTCTGTGGTCGGCTCTGCCTTAGACGTGGCTCTGCCCTCTGTGCCCAGCTCTGCCTTGTGCCCAGCTGTAACCTCTCTTCCTGTGCTCAACCTGTGGCACCACATGCCCAGGCTGCACTGGCTACATGCTGGGAGTGTCTATTTGGGACATAATTATTCTAGAAAGTAATTTACCTGAAATCAAAATTTAACTAGTAGACCTGTATTTTTATTTGCTGAATCCGGCAACTGTGTGTGTGTGTGTCTGTGCATGAGTGTGTGCATGCCTGTGCACTTGGGCACACCTACACATTAAAACAGAGGGCACACTCAGCCTTTGCTATTTGGGGCCTGGAGTGGAGGAAGTGTCAGCCTAGCACAGACATCCACGTTCAACAAAACATATCCGAGCTTGGACAGGCCGGTCAGAAGTTGACATTCACAGCCAGACAGAACCCACTTCAGCCTGTGGAGTCTGATGTGGCCATTAGGCGTTGCAGACGATAGACAGACAGACAGACAGACGCTCACACGGCCCGATGAGGCCAGACACCGACAGACACAGGCCGGGCCAGCTGATCAGCGGAGTGAGGGGAACAGGCAGAGGCCCTGTAGATGTGGCCAGGTGGGCCAGGCCGGGTGGAGGTGTGCGTCGAGGGGCAGTGCCTGCTCTCAGTACGTGCTCAGGCAGGGGGACCTTGCCAGGGCACCGGGGCCCTAGCTGCCGCCCCTGCATGGTCAGCCCCTGGGCGCCCCTTACCTGGGCCGGAGCCGGGACTGGCGGCGGATGACGGAGTAGCGGATGGCGATGACGCAGGCCTTCTCCAGCAGCGGGTTGATCTCGTCCAGCAGCAGGCCCACCCGCACCACCACCATGGAGAGGTAGTTGCTCTGTGCCGTTCCGAGCTTGACGTAGGTGCCATCTGGCAGGACCTGATAGGCCAAGGACAGGCGCTGGGTCTGAGCCAAGGCTCCCAGCCTGCCTACACCCAGAACTGGGGTCCTCTGTGGCCGGTGGACACCACAGTCCTCGAACCACTTACCCAGAGCGGGCACAGCCCGCCACCAGCCCAGACGTGCTCATGTGACTACGCTGCTTGTTAGAAGTGAAACATCTGTGCCTGTGGCTGGACAGCCACTGCCTCAAGTGCCCCGGCCCACAGCTCCTCCCCTGAGGCACCCTGGGCCTTCCCAGAGGCCACAGCTAAAGTCATGCCTGGCTCTAGAACTTGCCCCTGCACTTGGCCGGTGTCTGTTCAGCAACTGGTTGTGTCCAAGCACAATCCCTCTGCTCTTCAGATGGCCTCGCCACCCATCTGCCATCCAATGAGGTGAGCATTTACCCACAAGAACTCTGAGGCTCAGAGGCCAAGAGATTTGCCCCAAACCACAAAGCTCCTAAGCCAGGGTTTTATCCAGGTCTGTGGGATACCAGTGCCCCTCTGGGGGAGAAATACCCCAAACTCGGCTGCGGAGGAGGCCCAGAGCCAGCAGCCACCTGCGGGGGACTACTACCCCCTCTCCAGGCAGTGCAGGCCTGCGGACTCCCCGGACCCCTACCTGTGCGAAGCGGCTCAGCATGTTTTCCCTGGGGATCCGCACGTGGTCGAGCTGCAGGAAGCCATTGTCTATGTACTCAAAGTCCATCTTGGGCCCAATGTCTCCAGCAGTGACTCCTAGGAGGAGATGGAGTTGGAAACATGGGTCCATTGAGTGCTTGCTCTGTGCCAGGGACCACACACACACACACACACACACGCACGCACGCACGCACTCCAGCTCCTGAGCCTCACAGCAGCCTGTGCACTGGGCTGTTTGCAGGCGACCAAGCTGGAGTCAGACAGATGCTGCATCTCTAGGTCATCCAGCTGGTTAGCATCAGGTCTGTCCAACTAGATGCCTCCCTGCCCCAGAGTGACCGATCCGGCTTTCCCCGGGGACCTCTGAGGCCCCCAGGCAGGGCGTGCTGGCAGGGGGTCTCCCCCTGGCTGGGGTCCCGGAGGGAGCAGCGTGGCTTACCGGGCAGCAGGCTGTGGTCCTGGAGGCTCCGGATGGGCACGATGAAGGCGTGCATGCCCCGCCGGGCTCCCGAGCAGATCAGCTGGGCCAGCACCAGTGCGTGGGTGGCCGATCGTCCCACTGAGGGCAGAGAGACGGGTGTGTGAGGCTGGTGTGCAGAGCACAGGCTAACCGCCCCCTCCCCAACCCAGGGACCTGGGTGTGAGCCAGTCTGGAATGCGTTAGGAGGGCCAGTGCGGTGGCACGGGGAAGGGCGGGGCACTTTGAGGGGACGGGGGCTGTTTGAGGTGCCTCCAAGGATGGGGGACAGGGGAGGACCACAGGAGCCCCGAGGAGTCGATGCAGAAGGGTGTGAAGGCGGAGGGACCAGCACGCTCAGGAGCTTGAGGACTGGACAGGCTTCAGGGGGACGAGACAAAGAAGAAGTAGTGTGCAGGTCACAAAGGGATGCTCACTCGGGGTTCCCCTCAACTCACAGGCCCCGACTTGTTGGAGTGACTGGAACCGTGCAAAGAGCTTTCACGCGTGTCTGATTCTAGAACACACTGGGCCGGAGAGCCGTTTGGTGGCTGGAGGCATAGGCGCTTGTGTGGAAATGTCAGGTTTGTGTAGCAAGCACCTGCAGTTATGGAGGCAGGACCCCATGGGGCAGCGAGGCTCAAGGAGGCTGACGGAGACATGGAGGGGACCAAACCCTGACAAAGGCTAATGATTTTAATGAGACAGGCCAAATGGAGCAATCCGGGGAAGCTTGATGTCTATTCAAATTCAATTCTACGACAGTCTTCTGGCCGAAGGGTGTGCCCGTGAGTCATTTTCTTTGGGGTCAAGGAGACGGGGGTGTGTGTGTGAGGATGTGTGGCAAGAACACGGGCCTGAGGCACAGGGACGTGTGCTCACCGCTGTCCCCACCGGGCAGATGGGCACCTTTGTAAGGTCGCTGATCACAGAGAGGGGGGACCGCTGAAGGCACTGTGAAAAGCTTGTTCTTTTCTGTCCTCAAAAACCTACTAATAGCCCTAACTGGTTTGGCTCAGTGGATAGAGCATCGGCCTGTGGACTCAAGGGTCCCAGGTTCGATTCCGGTCGAGGGCATGTACCTTGGTTGCGAGCACATACCCCCGTAGGGGTGTGCAGGAGGCAGCTGATCTACGTTTCTCTCTCATCGATGTTTCTGACTCTTTCTCTCCCTTCTTTTCTGCTAATAAATGACTCTGGCTCAGCTGATGTGGCTCAATGGTTTGAGTGTCGACCTATGAACCAGTCAAGGCACATGCCCTAGTTGCAGGCTCAATCCCCAGTAGGGGGTGTGCAGGGGGGGCAGCCAATCGATTCTCTCTCATCATTGATGCTTCTATCTCTCTCTCCCTCTCCCCCTTTCTGTGTGAAATCAATAAAATTTTTTCTTTTACAAAAATGACTCTGCCTAATTATAATACAGTTAATTATCATTTATTAAAATTTGGGTGGTGCCAGACCCTGTGCGGGTGCTGTCCAGTTCCTTCAGGGCAGGTGATGAGTCCCATTTTCCAGAGGAGGAAACTGAGTCAAAAAGAGCCGAGAGACTCCTCAAGGTTATTGGCCTGGAGAAGGCAGAGCTGGGATTTGAACTGTCTGATTTCAAAGGCTACTTTCCTCTGCAGCTGTGACAGCAGTCTTTCTGTCTCTCCATCTTTCCTCTCTCTCTCTCTCTCTCTCTCTCTCTCTCTCTCTCTCTCTCTCTCTCTCTCATGTCCCTATGTCCCTATGTCCCTCTGATTTTTCAGCCTCTCTCTCGTCTCCCTCTCTGCTAGTCTCCCACCTCTCCGTGTTTCTCTTTAGTTGAACTCCTCAGTTCGCTGTGCATGTGCTTTTCGGTATAAATGTCACTAGTGGGTCCCAGCTGTCACGGATGGGTCCTGGAAGTGTATTCTCACACAGGAGGCGGAGGGCCTTGGGGAGACCGCAGCTTGGGGCCCATCACGGAGCCTCAGGGGAGCGCGGACGCCACCTGGCGGCCATGGGAGGTGCCGCGGCCTGATCGGCGCTGGTGGTGGGTCTGGAGCGGGGACACTGAAAGCTGTTAATCCCAGCCTGTGCACTGCTGCTGGCAGCTCCATTGGCAGCAAATTTTGGGAGATGAGAGGCGCTGGGATTGTGGGAGCGCTGGGACTAAGCCAAGTGTGTGTTCTGTGCATGCACACGTGTGTGCCTGTGGGAGGGGCTTTGGCCTCAGCCCCCAAAGGTTGGGTCCACTTCTTTAGTTACTTCCAAGTGCCCCTGGGGCCTCTCAGCCACTCACCCCCCACCCCCGCCCCATTTTACAGAGTAAGAACCTGAGGCTCCAAGAGGTGAACTGACTTGCCCAAGGCCACTAGCCTAGAGCAGGTAATCGATCTGAGGGGGGCATCCAGCCAGCTCTGTTCTCCGTGGGGACAGACGGGGCGGGCGGTGGGTGGGCACTCACGGTCCCCCGGCCACCACTTGGTGGCAGTCAGCGTGGGGCTGTGCATCACAAACTCCTGGGTGTCCGCATCGTAGGTGGCTTCCGTCTCCAGCCCCTGAAGGTACGTCCCTGGGAGTCAAGGAGGGGCGTTAGACTCTGGCCAGAGTGGGGATCTCACCTGCAGAGCGGTGTCCAGGCACCAGCCCAGCATGACTGGGGGTACCTCCCAGCTGTGCTTACAGGCATTGCTTTCCTCCCCCCCCCCCCAACCCTCACCGCCCCCCGGGCTGTGTGGGGGACACGCGGCCAGCCCACGACAAGGATGGTTGCTGACATTTCTGGGAAGAACGTCTTGCTACCTATGAGCTCGGACATGGTTTGTATAAATCAAGAGAGGGCACCACCCCCTCGCCCAGACCCTTGCCGGCCGCCTGCTGTAGGATTTGGGCAGGATCTGATCACAAAGCTCCCTCTCCCCTCAGTCTGCTCGTCGGTAATGACTGGGCCGTGGAGCCGTGCCCGGGCCCTGGGGCCGTGCCCTGCCCGCGGCAGCCCCGGCTGGCTCACCGTGTCCCAGCTCCGTCTGGGCGTACGTGGCGATGATGCGGAACTGGTCGCAGAGCGGGGCCCACTTGGCGATCTGCTCCTCCGAGCCCAGGCTCTGCAGGGACTTCGAGAAGATGTGGTGTAAGCCCAAGGCCAGGTCTCCGGTGACGGCCCTGTGGGGGGAGAGAGACACTGTGGTTGAGGCAGGGGCCCTGGGGGGCCCTCCCCTGAGCAGGTGCAGGAGGGAAGGGGCGCCTCGCTTCCTGCTTTCCCCAGAAGAATCACCGTTGTTGTTGGGGAAACTGGTTCCCGTGGCCGGGGCTCTGGGGGACCCCGGGGGACCCCTCTCTGCGGGGGCCGCCCGTGGACTAAGCACCTGAAGGCGTAACGGAGTTCCCGGCTGCCCTCCGACCAGCCCAGGCGCCGCGCGAGCATCTGCAGGTGGAACTTCTTCTTCACGCCGGCCTCGTAGTGCTCGTTCTGGCTCATGAAATAGTTTTCCTTCAGGCTGAACTCGGGGTCGCTGTGGATGATGCTCTCTGCCAGGGACAGACAGGCGGGGCTCAGGGACCCGAGTGAGGCTCCTGGCACCGCCACAGTGTTTCCCCCACTGGCCGCCGGCCGTGGGAAGGGGTCAAACGTTACTGTCACGCCCTGTCCGGTTTGGCTCAGTGGATAGAGCATCGGCCTGCAGACTCAAGGGTCCCAGGTTCGATTCCGGTCAAGGGCATGCACCTTGGTTGTGGGCTCATCCCCGGTAGGGGGTGTGCAGGAGGCAGCTGATGGGTGTTTTTCTCTCATCGATGTTTCTGACTCTCCCTTTCCCTTCCTCTCTGTAAAAAAAAATCAATAAAATATATTTTAAGAAAAAGTTACTGTCACTTGACAGCTGCGATGGCCGAGGCCCAGAGCTGGGCAGGTGACTTGCCCAGAGCGACAAAGCTATGGCAGCGGCAGAATAAGGACCCACATCCAGGCCGCCTGCTGCGAGCACTCCGCCTTCGGTCCCTCCGAGGGGCTCGGGGGCTGCTGGCATCAGCACGATGCCCTCGGGTCCGAAGGCAGTGGCAGCAGTGGCGTTGTGAGAGCAAACGCTGCCCTGTGAAGGTGGAGGGGCCGCTGAGAGACGCGCCTCCCCCCCCCCCCCCCCCAGGGCGGCGTGCGGGCCCAGGGCAGACGCCGCTCCCCCTGCGCTTACCCACTCTCCTGCGGAGCGCGGTGTTCTCGGCGCCCCCGTCCAGGATGTTGGTGAGCCGCTCCACGTCGAAGGACGGCCGGCGCCTCTCACTCTCCATGTCGGGGTGCACCCGCCAGCTCCAGGCGTCCCCCATCGACACGCGCGCTGGGCTGCCCATCCTCGCCCGGGGTCCGCCTGCCGTCTGAGGAGACACACAGTGGCCCCTGAGCTGAGGTTTTGCTTCTCGTCGTGCCGAGCGAGGTCCAAAATGGTTAAGTTCCAGAAACAAACAGCTCACAAGCTCTCGATTGTGCAGCCTTCCGCGAAGCTATGATAAAACCCCTCGGACTCAGCCCCGTCCTCCCCAAGCGTGGACCGTCCCTTGGCATCCACCCCTGACACTCCACCACTCAGCAGCTCTCAGGTATCGGGTCAAGGTCGCGGGGTCACAGAGCTGGTGCGGAGTCACCCTTCCCTCGTGACGCCCCAGAGCGAGAGGCGTGAAGCCGGAAGCGGGCCCTCTATGTGCAAAGGCGGGTGCAGTGAGATGCTTTGAGAGACCACATCCCTGTAACTCTTATCACAGTACAGGAGTGTTGTTATAATGGTTCTATTGTTAGTTATTACTGTTAATCTCTTTTTAAAAATATGGAATGTCGCCCTCACTGGTTTGGCTCAGTGGACAGAGCGTCGGCCTGCAGACTGAAGGGTCCCAGGTTCGACTCCGGTCAAGGGCATGTACCTTGGTTACGGGCACATGCCCGGTAGGGGGTGTGTAGGAAGCAGCTGATTGATTTTTCTCATCAATGTTTCTAGCTCTCTATCCCTCTCCCTTCCTCTCTGTGAAAAATCAATAAAAAATATATTTAAAATATCAGGAATGTCAATCTTTATTCTTTTTATTGTGGTTAATCCTCACCTGAGGATGGATGGATGGATGGAGATATATATATATATATATATATTTATTTTATTTTATTTTATTTTATTTTTTTTTTTTTGAGAGAGAGAGAGAGAGAGAGAGAGAGAGAGGAAAGGAAGGGGAGAGACACACAGAGAGAAACATTGATGTGAGAGACATACATTGACTAGTTGCCTCTTGCATTCGCCCTGACCAGGTGCAGGGGTTGAGCCTGCAACCAAGGCATATGCCCTTGATCAGAATCGAACCGGGGCCCTCTCATTCCACAGGCCGACGCTCTATCCACTGAGCCACACTGGCTAAGACTGCTGTTAATCTCTTATTATTATTTTTTAAATATATATTTTATTGATTTTGTCCAGAGAGGAGAGAGAGGGATAGAGAGTTAGAAACATCGATGAGAGAGAGAGTCATCATCGATCAGCTGCCTCTTGCACACCCCCTACTGGGGATATGCCCACAACCAAGGTACATGCCCTTGACCGGAATCGAACCCGGGACCCTTCAGTCCCCAAGCCGACGCTCTATCCATTGAGCCAAACCGGTTTCGGTTGTTAATCTCTTACTGTGCCTAATTTACTCATCATGCTTGATCTCAGCTATGTACAGATCCCTCTTGGATGGGGGGGGGGGGGGCAGCCGTACTCCTGGCCAAGGTGCACCGAGAACCTGTGAGCAGGAGGAGTGCCAGGGGCCTCTCCGCCCCACGCTCTGCCCTGGGGCATCGGCCGTGGCCCAGGCCCGGGCCTTGTCCAGGTGCCGTAAGCAGGGATTGTCCAATAAGGGGACAGTCAGTACCTGTTAGCCAAGACCGGGCAGGATCTGACCCAAAGCTCCTGCTGCCACTGCAGCCTGTGTGACAAGCATGGCCCGGGGAGGTCTCCCCACAAGTGAGGGTCAGGAGGAAACTGATGGTGGCGGGGTTGTGCGTGGCCTTCGGCTGCACAGCTGGAGGTGGCCAGGGGTTGGATGGGGTCTGGCCACGAAGCACGTGCTCCAGCCCCGCCATGGGGCCTGTGGTCCCAGCTACGGGGTCCCCTCGGTGCCCCATTCGGGGTCCCCGGCCCATGTCTGTGAGCCTGGAGGATGCTGTGGAGCTGGGGGAGGAGGCTGGCTCCTGGCCTGGGAAGTGTTCTCCCTGGAGGCCCTGTGCGTCCTCGTGGCCACGGTGGGCCCTGCATCCTCCGTAGCAAACCCCCAGCCTTCCCGGGCCTCTCACTTCCTCAGCTGCTTCCGCCCCGTGGCCACCGGCACCCTCACCCCTCGGGGCCTCAGGGGTCTTGTCCCTTCTCCCTGCTGCCTGGATGGGCTCTTCCTGGAATTTGCTCCTGACCCTCCTCTTGTGGATGGAGCCCAGCTCTCCCTTCCTCCTCTGTCCTCTGGTGCTCTACTCAGCCTCTACTCCAGGGCCCCCTCCTCTAAGTGGCACCCCTGGGGAGTCAGAGCACCCCCTCAGGCCCTGACGGGCTCCCATGTGCCCCTCCCCCCGGCCGTGAGTGCCGGGCTATCCCAGGAGCCGCCCTCACAGGGGACGTCAAGCCTTTCTGCAGGCGGCCAGCACTTTGATCCCCTTTCTTTCTCACCTCCACCCTGCACACCCTCTACTGGCATGGCCACTGCTTCACAGGGTCCCAGAGCCTCAGGCAGGGAGGAGACACGGGGAGGCCAAATGGGACTGGTGTGCAGGCTGCCAAAGCCACACGCCCCACACTCCTCTCTTCCCGCCCCACCTCTCGCTGCCTCCTGCAGTGAGCACCACCCCGCCCCTCAGCCCCAGGCTCTCCCACCAGGTCCTCCTCCTGCACACGCTCCGCCAGAAGCACTTGGCTCCCTAACTACCTCTTTCAAGTCTTTTTAAATATACACATAATTATAAAACATATATTATTGTTGATAGTATTACAGATACCTCCCTCCCCCCACTCACCCCCTCCTCCCAGCCCTATCCACCCCCCAGGGCTTCACCACCTTATTGCCCGGGCCCATGGGTCTTTCAAGTCGGACCCGTCACCCCTGCCTGGCTCCCAGTCTCCCTCCGTCTGCGCTGCTCTTTCTTCTGTGAGGTGTCCTGCCACACAAGACAATGTGCTCACTTATTCTGTTTTTGCTTGCGGCTGCCTCCCCTCCTAAAAGGTAAAGTCCAAGAGGGCAAGGACCTCTGTCACCTTCATGCTGTCGCTCCAGCCCCAGCGCAGGGCCGGCCGCAGGGGTGACTGGCAGGTAAGTGTCAGTTAGAGAAAGCAGGGCCCAGAGTCACTGGAGCCGCGGGGAAGCCACTGCTTCATTGGCCCAGCGGGCAGGGGTCTCCCAGTGCCCTCCCTCAGCCCGGGATCCCTGAGGGATCCGACTCACCTCTGCCCCGGTCTGCACTGCAGGCCCGGCCCCCAGCTGTGGCAGGCCTAGGCTTCCGGCTGCGGGCCGGCCCCTTTCTCCTCCCCTGAGGGGCGGCCCTGCCAGGCGGCCGTCCCAGCTGAGCTCCCTGTGCTCTCTCCCGCCCGCTCCCTCCCGCGCTGGGACTGCCCGGTGCCCAGCGGGGGGCTGATGAAGCGGGAGAGATAGCTGAGCACCAAGCTGGCCGGGCAGCTCAGTGAGTGCCAGCTGGGGAGCCTCTGTCTTCCTCTTCCTCTCCCTCCTCCCTGGCCCTGCCTCCCAGAGCCTGCTCCCGGGGGGAGAGCACACTGGCACACTGGCACCCCACCACACCCCGCCCCCCGCTGCACCCGCATAAAGAACCCCCCTCCCGCCTCCCAGGCTCCCCTCCCTGGTCTGTAATCATAGGCCAAAGAGGAAGCTCCTGGTGACCGTGCGATTGTTACAGCTTTCCTGGCTCCCATAGAACATTTCTTACACCCCGAGAGTGAGCTTGGTGGTGGGATTTCTGATTGTGGGGCGGTCTGCTGGGGAGGTGTTTATGGGCAGAGGTGTGAGTCCCTAGCTTGTACAGGATGCATTGATTTGTTTCCTTATCAATACATATCTCTGAGTGCCCACAATGCACTGGGGTACTTACCGCAGAAGCTAAACTAAACTAAACTAAACTAAACTAAACTAAACTAGATTAGTGCCTGGCCCTTGGGAAGCCTCCCAGCTGGGACTGGGGGCTGCTGGGAGACCACAGTCACAGGAGGGCCGGCAGGAAAACCTAGACGGCAGCTCACAGCCACTCCTGGGGAACTTCTAACTTATTTCTACGGGAAGCCTTTGGCCCCCTCCCCAGCCCCTGCTCCCCCAGCTCTTCCTGCTTCCCTGCCAGCTCCTCCATCCCATCCCACCATCTCACCACAGAGGAGCCCCTCCGGGAAGTCACGCAGTCTGGGTTAGTCGCTCTAGACCTGCTTCCTGAGCTCCGAGCCCTCATGGGAGAGCGAGAAAGGAGTCTGGTCTTGACGCTGAGTCCTCCACACAGCTCCTCCTGAGGGCCGCCTCTCGGCGGTGGCCCGACTCTCCACAGCTTCAGGAGAGCGGGCATGGCGCCCGCCGTCCTCGCCCTGGAGCTGTGTGGACAGCATTCCCTGCTCCGGGGCCAGACCTGGGTGGCAGAGGCCTGGCATGCTGGTGCGGCTGACCTCAGCTACCCCTAGCCCCGCGGCGGCCAAACTGGTGCCGCGTGGCCCACGTGAACCGCATATTATTTACATCTCCCCGCAGGCCCCACGGCCCCACGTGAACCGCATTGTCTGTGAATCTCCCGGCCCCACGTGAACCGCATTGATGACATCTCCCCCCGCAGGGCCCCACGTGAACCACACTGTCAGTGTGAACCTCCGGCATGGCCCACGGCCCCATGTGAACTGCATTGATGACATCTCCCCCCCCCCCAGGGCCCCATGTGAACCACACTGTTAGTGTGAACCTCAGGCATGGCTCCCGGCCCCACGTGAACTGCATTGATAACATCTCCCCCCCAGGGCCCCCGGCCCCACGTGAACCGCATTGTCTGTGAATCTCCCGGGCTGGCTCCCGGCCCCACGTGAACCACATTGATGACATCTCCCCCCCAGGACCCCCGGCCCCACGTGAACCTCACTGTTAGTGTGAACCTCAGGCATGGCTCCCGGCCCCACGTGAACCGCATTGATGACATCTCCCCGCATGGCCCAGGGCCCCACGTGAACCGCATTGTCAGTGTGAATCTCCCGGGCTGGCTCCCGGCCCCACGTGAACCGCATTGATAACATCTCCCCCCCCCGGGCCCCATGTGAACCTCACTGTTAGTGTGAACCTCAGGCATGGCTCCCGGCCCCACGTGAACCACACTGTTTGTTAGTGTAAATTTCCCCCCAGGGCCCCCGGCCCCACGTGAATCACATTGATCATGTGAGTCTCCCCGCATGGCCCACGGCCCCACACAGACAGAAACGCTCTTCAGAGATGCTGTGCCACGAGCTTAGAGCTCACCTCGCAGGAGCTGCCAGGGGCCAGCCTTTCTTTGGGAATGTGTGGGGGTTTGAAATCCTGCTGAGTCAGCCACGTGCTGCACCCTGGGTGTTGCCAGTGTTCCCAGTAATGTCTTCTCTGTGGGTCAGCATCCAACCAGGATCCCAATGGCACGCAATGGTCCCGTCTCTCTGGTTGGTCAGCCCCTCAGTCACAGTCTTTTATAACCTTGGTGCTTTGAAGGGTGCTGGTCAGGGGTCTCTTTAGAACTTGCTTCCAATGTTCCTTTGAGCCAGGCTCTCAATGTTCCTTTATTTGCTTTTTCACATCTCGTGTACATAACATTTTTCTTTTTCTTTATTCAAATGCATCCTGTTTTGCCAACAGAAGTTTAACTTCATGTGATTAAGTTTAAAATGCTATTTTAGGTTCTTGTTTTTATAGTTTAAAAATATTTAATTTTCATTTGCATTGTGTCCTGTGTATGTATAAGGTGTGGGTCTAAATGATCCCTTTTTTTTTTAAAATAAGTTTTTATTGTTCATATTATTACAAATGTTCCTTTTCCCCCACCACCACCATTGCTCTCCTCCACCAGGTTCCCACCCCATCCTCTGCCCTTTCCCCACTCCCCATTGTCCTCATCCATAGGTGCACAGTTTATGTTCAGTCTCTTCCCACATCCCCTTCTCCCCTTTTCCCCAAGAATCGTCAGTTCACTGCCCTTCCATACCTCTGATTCTTTTTTTTTTTCTTTTTTTTTTTTTTCTTTTTTAAAAATAAGTTTTTATTGTTCATATTATTACAAATGTTCCTTCGCCGCCCCCCCCCCCCATTGCTCTCCTCCACCAGGTTCCCACCCCACCCTCTGCCCTTTCCCCTCTCCCCATTGTCCTCATCCATAGGTGCACAGTTTATGTTCAGTCTCTTCCCACACCCCCCTCTCCCCTTTTCCCCAAGAATCATCAGTTCACTCCCCTTCCATACCTCTGATTCTATTATATTCAACAGTTAATATTGTTCATCAGATTTTTTTTTTTAATTTCCTTGGTTTTTAGATTCACTTGTTGATAGTTACATATTTGTTGTTCATAATTTTTATCTTTATTTACTTTCTCTTCTGAAAGAACCCCCTTCAGCAATTCATATAATTCTGGTTTGGTGTTGATGAACTCTTTTAGCTTTTTTTTTTATTAGTGAAGCTCTTTATCTGACCTTCGATTCTGAGTGATAGCTTTGCTGGATAGATTATCTTTGGCTGTAGGTTCTTACTATTCATCACCTTGAATATTTCTTGCCATTCCCGTCTGGCCTGCATGGTTTCTGTTGAGAAGTCAGCTGACAATCGTATAGGTGCTCCTTTATAAGTAACTACCTTCTTTGCTCTTGCTGCTTTTAACATTCTCTCTTTGTCTTTTGCTCTTGGAATTTTAATTATGATGTGTCTTGGTGTGGTCCTCTTTGGATTCCTTTTGTTTGGAGTTCTGTGTGCTTCCTGGACTTGTAAGTCTAATTCTTTCATCAGGTGGGGGAAGTTTTCTGTCAGTATTTCTTTCAGTATGTTTTCGATATCTTGCTCTCTCTCATCTTCTGGGACCCCCATAATTCTGATGTTGGTTTGCTTGAAGTTGTCCCAGAGGTTTCTTACATTATCTTCAATTTTCTGGATTCTCTTGCCTTCTAGCTTCTGTGGAGTAGTGTCTTCTGGTTCTTTATGTTCCAAATCTTTGACTTGATTCTTGTGATCTTCCATTCTGTTTTTAGGACTCTGTATAATATTTTTTATTTCAGACAATGTATTCTTTATTTCTTGTTGATCCCTTATCATTTCTTGTTGACTCCTTATTAATTCTAGTTGATCTCTTTTCATATCCTCATAGGTCTTATCCATCTTTTCTAGGAAATTCTTGAAAAACCTTATAAGCGTAGATTTGAACTCTATATCCAGTCGCTTTTTGTCCTCCATTTCTTTCGTTTGTGATCTATTTTGTTGTCGCATTTCGCAGTTACAGATGGGACGGGATTTCAGGGGGGAGCCTACAGCCTTGGCAGCCCCGCCCTATGCGGCTCCTGCGTCTCAGAGTCCTTCAGTACTCGCTGCAAAGTGCCTCTGAGAGATAAATGCCCTCGATTTTCGCCTGCTGCCAAACAATCTATGCTCTCCCCCAATGAGCCCAGTATTGGGGTTCAGTTCAGTTGGAAGTGGAGTTGGAGGTGGCGTTCAGAGCAGACTGGAGCCCCTGTCTCCTTCCGGCCAGGGCAATCCCGCGGCACAGCCAACCGTCCCTTCTCTGCGCGCAATGTGCGCGCGGCCGGGACCTCCTTTCGCCGCTCCCCCGGGATTCCACCTTACAGCCCGGCTCCCTATGGATGAGCCTGGGTCCCCGGGGTCTGGCCTAGAACTGGGGTTCAGAGCAGTCAGAACTGGGGCCCAAAACAGTCAGAGTTTTATCTCCTTCCAGTTAGGGAACGCCAGCCAGGCACTCAGCCTCCCTCCTCTCCGGCTCTGTCCTCTCCGGGCGTGCCGCGTGTCTCCATACCTTGGGCTTTTACAGCTCCTCCGCGCTTCCTTCTGGTTTTCTCCTTGCTTCTCGTTGTAGGATTTCCAGTCAGTCAACTTTCCTGTAGTTCTGGGTAATGTCCATTTTATATTTTAGTTGTATTTTATTGAAATTGTTGTGTGCGGCTGCGGCTAGGTGTTTACCTGGGCGCAGCCATCTCGGATCCTCTAAATGATCCCTTTTTGTATCATTATTCTCTTACAGAGACATTTATTGTTATTGTAGAACAAATTCATTTGCTGAATGAATAAATAAATATTGAAGAGTATTGTATTATTCTTAGCACCTCATATATTAACTTCTTATATTTGCTTGATTCTATTTTGGAAATATCAGTTCTGTGCCAGTGGTTCATTATTTCTGCCTTAGTGTGATATCATATAATTTATAATTATCCTTTTGTTATGTTTTGAAATTTAAAATTTGGTAGAGTTGAGCCCATCCTTTATATACATATATATGCAGAGTGTCCCAAAAATGTATGCACACTTTAACAGCTGATAGCTCAATTTTGAAAAGGAAATCTATTTTAATAAACACTGCC